GGCTATCAAGTAATTAATAAGAGTACACGCTTTAAATATCCTGGGTCTATTATTCAGAGTGATGGTGGAATAGATGTGGATATTATTAGTAGAGTTCAAGTTGGATGGTTGAAGTGGAAGAATGCATCAAGCTTATTTTGTGATAGAAAATTAGTCTCCCTCAAACTTAAGAAAAAATTTTATAAGATGGTGGTGAGACATGTAATGCTTTATGGTGCAAAATATTGGCCATTAAAAGAGATGCATAATATTAAGTGTAGGGCTGCAAATGAATTGAGCTGAGATTTAGCATGTTTGAGCTCCGGCTCATTTTCCAAGATCGTGTTTGAGCTCATCTCAATAATATTCAAGCATTTTTTTACCTGTTCGAGCTCGAGCTCGTATAAAATACCTTTTGTTCGAGCTTAGCTCGAGTTCGGTTCATTTAAGCTTATCGAGCCTAATAATGAGCTGCTCATTTAACGTGCTTGAGCCTATTAGAGCTTGAGCCTATTAACAAAATAATTTTTTTTTTAACAAATGAGCTTCTTGGCGACCTATTCGCCTTGCCTGGGCTTGCCGAGCTGTGCCATGCCTCTTAAAAAACCCGACCCGAACCATCCGCCTCCGCCAGCTTTTAAATTGACTCTTAGGCTTCGTTTGAGACTGCTTTTTTACTGCTTTCTAAAACGGTGTTTTAATTCAAAAATAAAAAAATTTGTGCTAAAACTCCATTTTAGAAAGCCATAAAAAACCGTCTTAAACGAATCCTTAATATATTTCATTATACAGAGCAAAACCAAAAAGGCTTGCACGGTGTGGGACTAGATGAGTGGAAATCGAAGCAGGGTCTGACATGCTGAGAAGAGAGAGGCATGAGAAGAAGAGAGAGGCATAATTATATATTATTCAATGAAAAAATAATTATTTAATTATGTAAAATAATATTTATTTATTTATTTATAAATTATTAAATTAATCAAATTAATTTAACAATATTTATTTTTAAAAAATTATTTATTTTAAGCTAATTCGAGATGAACATGAACCTTAATCTAGCTTCTTAATGACCTTGTTCACAAGATTTAAATAATATTATTCGTAAACATAAATGAATCAAATGACAAGCTGTTCAAACTCGCTTATTTAGCTATTGAGAATTTATTAAAAGTGTTCACGCTCGTTCATTTAACTTATCAAATGAACATAAATGAGTTCTTATCGAGCCAAGCCATGAGCAGCTCGTCGAACGCTCAGTTCATTTGCAACCCTAGTCAGGTGGATGAGTAGCATTACTGTTAGAGTCAAGATACAAAATGAGCATATACGTGAAAAGGTTGGAGTAGCTTCATTAGTAGAAAAGATAAGAGAGAGTCGCATTAGAGGGTTTGGTCACATAAAACAGTGGCCTTCCGTTGACACGATTAGGAAAGTAGATGCATTTAATTTGGTTTATATTAAGAAAGATAGAGGTAGACCTAAATAAATTTGATTAGAAAATATTAGAAATAACCTTTCTTTTTTAGATTTAAATGAGAATTTGATGCTTAACCAGACATATGGAGAAAAAATATTCATGTAGCCGACCCCACGTACGTAGTGGGATAAAGACTTGATATTGTTGTTGTAAATATCTTAAAGTCTTTAAAATTATAAAAATAATTTTAATTTTCTTTCAAAAAAGAACTTTCAAGTTAATAAATTTTATTAAAATATGCTCATTTTTTAAAAAGTCATATTATAAATACCAAATGTAATCCTCGAATTTCCTCATCTTGTCAAAATCTTTACTAAAAAAGTTACAATGTTAACCACTATGTAAACAAGAGCCCTAAATTAACAGAAAATTTAATTATTAATTTGCTATTTCATTTTTCATCAAAATTATTAATTTTCCACAAATAACAAATAAATAAATAAAACTTAGTCAAATTTGATTTTAATTTTCTGTAAGAAAAAAAGTTTCAAAATTTTAAATTTATTAAAAATGCAGTAATTTTTGTAAAACTTTTCTTCCAAAGTCCTGTTGTCAATTTCAAAATTTCTCAGTGCTGAAAAATATTTACTAAAAAATTGGCTATATTAGATATATAGGAATACACTAAAAATAATTTATGTTAGCTATCTATTTAAACAACATTTTCAAATTGACAGAAAAATAATAAAGATGGGCAGAAAAAAATAAATGCAAACCCGCAAAAAAACCCAGAAATCGTTAGAAAAGATTGATCTTCAATGAAAAAATCTAAAACCATTTGCGTTTAAAAACGCATCCTTTACACGTGTATGATCCTTTAAAATTTAGGCCTCGTTTGGTGGGAGACTCCCACCGACTTTTTTTTCGATTTTAAACGGAGGTGTTAGAACGGAGAAGTAGATTTTTTATCCTTCTCAAATCGGCGAAAAAAGGGCGGTGTGGCAAACGATAGTTTTAAAACGCCGCCTAAACAAACTGTTAAATTATAAAATTTTCACCGATCCAAACTGAAAACGGCGAAATTACGGTAAATCAAACGGGCCCTTAATGTTTATTAACGTTTATTTTCCTAATTCGTTTTTCAATGGCGATCCTTTTAAAAATTTAGCCTTAATAAACATGCATTTATACACATTGACGACTGCCATTCCAAATTTATAAAAATCCATTATGTATCCTCGTTGATTTGGCCTTCTTAGATCATCTCAAACTGAACTGCAAGTGGTGGTATGTCATCCGCATTCGCTTCATTCGAATGCTAAATAGCAAATCAAAATTCAGTAGATATTGGCGTCACACTGTTCATCTACGTCAATTTTATGTGTTACAGGACTTGCCGAGTAAGTGCGCAAAAAATGAGAAAGATGATTACCTTCGCAGCGAGATGAGAAGCATGTGAAAGAGGAGAAAGAAATGGAGTTTGATTGAAAATGAATTACTGCTTTTTGGAGTCATAAAATGATTTTTTCAGTTGGAGATGCCCTTACACTTGGAGGACGATACTCTTTTTTTGTAAAGTAGAATGTCATATTATTTGTAGGCATTAGTCCTCATGTGGTGCCTAATATATAGGGGTGATCCCTAGTTTTTTCTCATGAGAAAGTTTGAGTTTGTTCATAGCATGATAAAGGAGGGATTGGGTTGTTCCTATTATATGTTCATATAACCATAAGAGCTATTATTTAATTTATACAGACTGAATATGGAATCTATATCCCACTTGTGAGTTATTAGACCATTAATTTTATATCATGTTTTAAATTTTCTTATTTTTCAATTGTCGAAGGCGCGCCCTTTTTTTCTGTTAAAGTGAGAGAATTTTTAAGGGGTGAGTAAGGATCTCCTAGGATCGAATTAGGCCCCACTCGTAGCTCTCGATTAGAAAGAATGTCAAATGAAATAAACCTTTTTGAGGGCTCGCCTGTTAAGTCCAAGAGACAGTGCCAGGAACTCGTTGGGATGGTTTCGTAGCTCTAAGAATGACTCTAAGGATAAAATGCCAAATTGAAATTTTGGAAAAGACTATAAGAGAAAGAGGAGGGCTTCTTGAATCATCCTAAAACGTGATAAATGTCCAGAACCGTGTAAGATGATGATGATGATGTAAATGAAGTGTGTGTACAAATTTTTTTTAACATTTTGTATTATTTTCATACATGAAAGAAGATGTGTGTGCACATACACTATGCATATCCTTTTGTTCAAGGGACTAGTATTTTCACTTGCATGCATGCTCAACATTGTTATGCATTCATTGATGCATATTTTATATATGTTTTTTCCTTGAAGTAAAATTCTTGCCCTTGGTTAAGTGTAAAAGGCCACTTTGCTAAGTGCAAGCTTCCCATCTACCTAAGTGCCTTAGACCTAAAAAAGGGAGTAGTCTTTTGATTTTCAAACCTTATCCTAAGTCTTGATTACCCTTATCTCAAGCTTAAGTTAGCCTATCATTTTCTTATCTAACTAAATTTCACTTAAAAAAAAAAAATTCACCACTATGGATCTAAGTTATTAATATGTCAACTTTCTAGTTTAGGGTTGGTTGACTACAAACTTAAGAGTTTGTTCATTAGATATTAGGTCGAGCTTACTTGACAGTTTAGTTTTTTGTCATATTAGATGATTATGATGATTCATGATGGCGGTAACAAATGAAAAGAAATAAGAAAATGATTTCTCATTAAAAAAAAGGAGTTTACTCAATTTTGAAGCTTGAATTCATTTGATCGTTGAACTCTTTCTTTTATTGCTTCAATTACATTGACGTATTTCTTAGTGAGTTTTAACTTTAGAGGAGTCGGAAATAGAGTGACAAGTTCCTCGTGTGTCTGCAAAATTCTAAGGGCAAGTTCCATGTTAGCAATGAGGACTTGCCTCTCCATGTTCATAGGTCCTTCTCTCCCCTTCTACTTTGCTTCCCATAGAGCCTTGCTTCTAATATATGCAATCAATCATTGGTCATTGCACCTAAAAGAATATTGGATTTAATTTTGTTCATGAGTAACACTCAATCTTATTCGGGTCTATTTTACTCAAATCCAAATTAACTAAGTACCAAAATATAAAAGAAAATATTATGTCTACTTTACCCTATCATTCCTAAGGCCTAAAAATACAAGATTTGATGAAGAGATGTAATCTCAACTCACAAGATAACTCTCTAAAGTTTAGACAAAATAAAGAGATTTTTTTTAATAGTTAAATATAGTTTCAAATCATAGTTCTATCACTAGCAATCAGATATAAATATATTAGATTTATAATTGGAGTTCATCTTATTTGAATATTTTCCCTCCCCTACAAATGACAAAAATCTTAATTTTCATTTTTTTCTATAATTATTTGTTGACTCTTATCAGGACAGAATGGAGAAAAAAAAATTCATACAGTCAATCCCACATAGTTAGATAAAAGCTTATTATTATTATTATTATTGTTGTCTACAACTATTTGTGTATAGAATAATTTAATAATTTGATAGTATATTTGTGTATAGAAAATGTCTCCAACTTATTATTCTATGTTCTCTTTCAGTCATAAATCGAACTTCTGAAACAGATAATATCACAATAACATTAATATTAACAGTTAATTAACAACAGCAAGTTGCTTAATAAAGACATGAATCATAATCACCAAAGATACTATACATGCAAATGAAGGAAAGAAATTCCCACCCTCAATTTATTTTAATGAAATATATACGTAAACTATCAACTATGGCACAAATATATCTATTGAACTTTTCAATAGTATGTTTGGCTTATCATCTTCCATTTGTGTACCTTTGCTTCAGTACTCATACCTTCCACTTGTGTCAGCAGATGAACTGCTATGAATGCTGAATCATTTCATCAAATCCAGGAAAAAAATAATGTGTTCAACGATCACTTTGATCTCTTGCGGTTAACATGTCGGCAAACGATGGTGGATCTGGATTTTGCCTGCTGATTTCCCTTCCTGATGCAGTTTCTTCATCTGATGAAGCTTCTATTTCTTCCTCAGATTCAAAATTTTCGATTGTGTGATTGGAGATGCTTGAAGGGGTTTGTGATCCACTAATAGCAGCATTGGTCATGACATCCATTTGTTCTTCCTTCGCTTCGCCGGTCTTGTTTGCATCTGGGTGCACCATTTGATCATAGAGTTTGGCCAAGAAGGCGAGTTTTTGCCAAAAGGATTCCTCAGGAACCCAACTTTGCAGGAATTCTCTGTGTTTGTAGAGAAAATGTGTCAAATAAAGAACTAGGCATGCCATGGATGCAACTCCAGTAATAAGAAACAGGCCCCAGAAGCTACGAAATGAAAGGCTGCTTGTGTCAGTCTCTTCTTGGGTTGGGCAGCTCCTATTGCCATATAAATTATTCTCAATATCTCCCATCTTTTTGCTTTCCAGTAATCTAAGGATCCCACTTGAAACCTCTGAAACTAATGGAGAGTTCTTGGGAAACACCTGTAAATATGGAAATTAAAAAATTAAAAGGTTGCTGCTAAAACGACTAGCTTTTGATTCTTGCAGTATTGCTCATATTGAAAGAATGTCAGTAAAATAAGATTTTGTGTAACTGAGAATCACTTGAAATTGAAATGAATAAGTTCTGGCACACAAATTCTTCAAGTTGCTGTAGCACACTAACTCTTTGAAGAGAAAGGCTTTACATTTACAAAGTTCAGTATGCTCAGCAATGCTGATGCAAAACTATGTTACGAGGAAAATATATATGTATGCTGAGGCAAAGGATCTGAAGCACGGAAGAGAAAAATAATGAAATCAGGGAAAGTTTTGAGAAATTAAGACATGCAGCGAACGGAGTGAGCCAACTACTTGAGACTGTTAAAAACTGTTCCAAAAATCCAGTTACATGCAACTAGATCGCAATTAGCTTTAAAAGCTTAAAGTTTTTACTCAAAGATTTAGAGCGCAATTACTGACAGAAATTATTTATACATTTTCATAAAAAAAAGGATAAAAATTATCCCTTAATTATATGTGGGGGACCAAAATAGTCCCCAACTCTATTGAAAGACCAATTCCATCCCTCAACTGATTAGAAAGAGGCATTTTTGGTCTTAACATCAAATTTTGGTGTTAATGGTGTTAAATCAAGGGATATTTTAGTCATTTTTTAATTAAATTATTTATTAAATACAATTTTCAAGTAATAATATTTAAAAACTTATTAAATATTTCTTTTAAAAAAATTATTAGTAATTCTAGTTTATAATGATCCTAAATTAAAACAAAAATTATTAATAATTTTTTCTATTAAAGAAATATTTTATATTTTTAGAAAAATTATTATTACTTGAAAATTATATTTAATAAATAATTTAATTAAAAAATTCAGATGTTATGACCTAAAAGATCGATTTTTAAGGAGTTGAGACACCAAATTGGTCCCTCACAAAGAGTTGAGGGACTATTTTGATCCTTTTTATCTTCTCATAAATATATATGAATTAAGGCCATAAAAAAGGAATAAAAAAATAAAAAATAAAAAAAATTAGAAAAGGCCACAAAACAGAATATTTGAAGCAAACATTAAAACGAATGAGTCTTTCATTTCAACTAGTCAAAATCACATTTAGATTTTCCTCTTTAAATGATTTAAAATATAGCAATACTTCATGACTTTAAAAGAGAAAAAACATAAACAATACAGTTATTCATAAATTTGTTGGACATTATCATATCTAAGTTGTGCATGCAAGGTTAAAGAGAGTGATACTTACAAAACCAAACCCATCAGTCTTATAAGTAGGTCCAATCATGGTGTACTTTCCACAATACTTATTGAGGAAGATCTTGAGGTAAGGTATCTCATCCACTATGGCTGCAACAGTTCCATTAGCCAAAGCATCATGATACTCATCTGGAGAGTTGTAAGCAATGAGCTTGGATTCTTTGAAATTCAACCGCTTTAACAAAGATGGCATGAAAGAATCGTTTAAGTATCCAACATGGTTTCCATTTTTTATGAGTTCATTCAGGTTTGTCACAGTTGGCTGAAGTTGCTGCACTGTAAGCATCGAGCTTAAACTTGCCGTGTAGCTGGATTGCAGTACAAGAACCACAAAAAGCCACACTATTACCACAATCCGTGATAAGTTGCTCAGCACCTTCTCCTTGTGTGCGAAGACCAGAGTAGAGAAGGAAAAGTATAAAACAGTGCCAAGCTGCTCTGTAGGTTCTCCTCTGAAGTCCTTGTTGATCCGGTGTTCTATAACCCAAACAACAAATCCTGTAAAGATGAAAAAGACTCCACTTGCTATCCAAAGATCAGTGGTCAATGGGTCTAGGAAGGCCCATGCATCCTTTTTGCTGTTGTCATTGATTGGAACAAGCATTGACACCCCTGACTCCGTATAGGGCAATGTAAAATCAACGTATAAGGATCGATTGGCTATAATTGTCACATCTCCCACCACAGCATCGTATTTCTGGTACCAATTTATCAAAGAAAAAGTAGAGTGAGAAAGTTAAAATAGATATAGTTAGCTGCAAGTTCCAAGGTCTGGAGTGTCATTCTAACATGGAATTTTGAGTCAGATATTCTCAATGATCGATGGTAAAATGTTGCAAAGTTATCAAAAGAATAGTAATGAGTGTTTGGCCAGACCGGTAGAAATGATGCAGACTATTATGTGTAATCACCAGCTGAAATACACATGATTTGAAACATTGAAGATATTCCCAAACATAGATACAGTTGGCCACATTTTACAATATCTTGAGTTGCATTGCCAAGCATGGAATTCCAGTACATACTCTTAAACAGGGACGATATTGCTGTAAAATTGCCAAATGAATATTAAATTAAGTGTTTGGCCTGACTATAAGGATGAGAATGACCGTGACTTGAGCTGAAAATAAAGAGAATGCTGATGCACGCTATGGTTGGGCATGATAGCCACAAGACACTATAATAGACTTTTGTCTGGAAATGATTAACTAAAACCACTATCCATTTTTTACAAAAAAAAATTGTTCGTTTCCTACACTTCAGAGTCTCCTTAGATGGTTTGTTCATATAAAATGTCGGCCTCCCGATTACCCGGTTAGGAAAGTAGAGGTATTAGATTTGACTTATGTTAATAAAACTAGAGACAGACCTAAAAAGATTTGGTTAGAAAATATTAGAAATAATCTTTCTTTATTAGATTTAAACGAGAATTTGACTTTTAACAAGACACAATGGAGAAGAAGGGTTCATGTAGCCGACCCCATATAGTGGGGCAAAGTCTTGATATTGTTGTTGTTGTTTCCTACACTTCTGAATATAAGGTATACTCAAGCTAGGAGAAGCTTGGACCAAGAGAAGCACAATAGCGTAGGTTTAGGGCATCAGGAAGAATAATTGAAAGTTTTTTTTTTTTTATAGAATAATTGAAAGTTGAAACTGATAAATACTTTAAGGAAAAATATATCATCTGAATAGCAAGACAGCACTCAATAACTTCAAACAAAAATAGAGTTAAAAGTAATGATTTTGGAGTTTTTTTCCCCCCTTTATTTATCTCCAATTATGTTTATATAAGCTTATAATTTACGTTGAGAACCATAGGGCCTCTTTAGCTAAAAATAGAACGGATTAAAGTTACATTTTAGGTGTTTAGGTTGTTGAAAGTAGCTGCATTTGCTTTGCACGAATCACTTTTAGGCTACTTTCTACACAACACATTTCCAAGTCAATGAAAATCTATTTGGTCAAACCAAATAAGCCCCAACAGACATTTAAAATGAAAAATTACTCGGCTATGTTAGAAGATGTCAATGCTGCGTAACAAAGATATAAGGAGCGAGTATGAATGTGATTAATAATTGTCCTAAATTCAAATAGAACAGTTAAATTTGTACTAGTTATTAGAAATTTTAGTTTGAATTGTTTTCAATTGATAGTTAGATATAATGAATCATTTCAATTCAGAATAAAATAAATTTTGAACGATTAAAATTTTCTCTTTGTGAAATTTCAAGAATCTTTATAATAAATACATTCCTATCCTAGGAAAGAATTAATGTGGTACAATATACATAGAATCTAAAATTATTTTTAGATTAATGGATCATCGAAAGGACTCTAATTCCGGAATTAGGGGCTCATTTTGAAGGATGCAAGATCCTGCTGTTATTTGACATCTTTCCATCTATGGCTCAGCTTTTTCTACCTTTTTACAATATATTTTCAGCATGAACTCTGAAAACCTAAATAAAAAATCCTTAACTCTATAAAAAAAAATTAGATAGACACCATGTTAAGTCAACTATTTGATTCATAGTTGTGTTCTTTAGTCAAACATTCAAATAATCATCACTAACAGAGTACAATAGTGAATTACCAAATTTCATATTTGGAGAAAGCTCCTCAAATTGATACAAATTTATTTGTGCGCCTAACATTTTATTAGACTGAGGTCAATGAGTTTAATTTAGAAAAAAAAATCATATTTTTTGCAACATTAATGGTGCATCATTCATTGTTTTCTTATACTTGACATATATTTAAATAATCATAAATTTAATAAAATTTTATTTATAGATATTTATTGTTTGGTAGAACATAATCAATGGTGGTGATTTTAACTATAGAATCTCCGAGATCAAAATCCAATCTGTAGGAAAATTGATATTTCCTTCAAGCTGGATCAAGCCTACTAGTGGACTTAATGAGAGAGAAAGAGAGTTTCTTCATTAATAAACTATTACTTAATCAGTCAGTATGGTTGTTAAAAACAAAATTAGGTTTGTTTTAAGTAATTCAAATGTGTTAACGTAGCAAACTAAATGGATCTAGTCCAATTATGTGTCCAACCTACAAGGCTGTCAGCTATGTTTCCATCTTAAAAAGCAATCAAGCAACACAATTTACTGAGTTCGAATGACCCAAATAGGATCTTCTATTTTCCTATTATTATAGGCACACCTTGGACAATTGATAGGAAGAGCCTTAAATGCGCTGTTGTCAACACAAGGAAAATGCTTTTTGAATACAACAACAACAACAACATAAAGCCTTTGTCCCATTATATGGGGTCGGCTACATGAATCCTTTTTTCTCTATCGTGTCCTATTAAAAGTCAAATTCTCATTTAAATCTAATAAAGAAAGGTCATTTCTAATATTTTCTAACCAAGTCTTTTTAGGTCTACCTCTACCTTTTTTAACATAAGTCAAATCTAATACCTCTACTTTCCTAACCGGGACATCGGAAGGCCACCGTTTTATGTGACCAAACCATTTAAGGTGACTCTCTCTAAGGAAAATACTTTTTGAATAAGTTAACAAAATTCTTAAGAAAGCATGCACCTTCATATTGTATAGCAAAATCAGTTTAGGCTCAGTTGATCAAGTCGATTTGACACAACGGGACAAACCACTATTGATTTGGGTTAATTTACATAGGTTAGGTCAGCTGAGCCTACAATTTATTGTATTAAGTCATTTGTGCTGACTTGCCCAAGAGTAATTGCCAAATACAAATAGCTCAAGAAGCAATTAAGAACCCGCAAAGAGGATCTAAGTTGTCCTCTACTTCCCAATCAACGGTGCTAGGATTCGAGTACTCATTCAATGGTATTAAGCTGCAAGTAGTAAGTCTATAGTACCCAATAGATACAACAAGGTGACCAATACACAGAAGTCATACCCAACTATGATGTCCAACTAAAACATAATCATCTAGAAGCATGGTTGTGAAAATTGGACTGAACATTGAACCTGATGAAATAAGAAGTTCAAGGTTCAATGATTTAATCATGATTAAACTGGATGATGTAATAAATATTAAAATTATTTAATTATTATCTAAATGAAATAATAATGATATGATAATCATGAACAAATATAAATGTGTGACTAAAAATTTAATATATATACATACATAAACAATAGTTTCTATAATTTTATATTTAAATACATTCATTTTTTAAATTTTATTCACATTTAATATAACTTTAATTAACATATAAATTATAAATTTAATATAAATTATTATTAATTTATGTTATATACTTAAACATAATTATATATGTATGTTATCATTACTAAATAGATAAAAATTATTTTTTGTAGTGTATGTACAAATAAATAAATAAATAATTATTAACTACAAAAATAAATATTATTCATATTACAAAAAAATTAATTAAAAAACGTGTTTGAAAATTTATACTATGTATGTTGTGAGCTTCATAACATCAACTCATCTATTTAGTCCTACATTACTTGGAAACTTTCTCTTGTGTAAGAACTCACATGGAGTTGTGGGACCATGTGAAATTTTGAACTCGTGAATAAGCTCGATGAAAATAATTAATATTTGACTATAAAATTAATAAATATAAATAATCATTACCTTTGTTACATAGACAATTGCTTTTATTATAAATGTGTTTGTTCATAGATATGTTCATGAACGTGTTTGTTTGATAGTTAAAAAAATTAGTTAAATATGTTCGCGAACAAGCTCGATAAACACTAAACGAACGAACATGAACTGAACATGAACCGAACATGAACACTCCTTAAATTAATGAATCAAACATGAACACAAATGCTAAAGCTCGAACAAACATGAACCAAACATGAACAAGCTGGTATTAAATGAACACAAACATGAACACTCACATACTCGGCTCGGCTCGGTTCATTTGCAGCCCTAGTGGTTTGATGCATAAGCGGTTTTCAAGAAGGACCGAACCAACCTTATGACTGATTCACAGTTGAACCAGTCAGACCGACTGGTCCGATCTAATTTTTAAAAACTTGTCTAGAAGGGAACCCACCTTCTAATAGGCATCAATCATATTCAAGCAAGGCTACAACCTACACATCTAACTAAAAAGACATCCAACAACTAAAACAGTATTGAGGCCTGTATAGCCAAAAGCTTATAGAATTGACATCGACTCGAGCATATAAATATAGGGTTGATTGTGCAACATGGAGAGGTTTCCCAAATTTTTTCTTGGATCTTTTTCTTGAATTTTTTCCCAACCTCAATTCTTTCAAATTTCTCTTTCTTTTATAATCCCGTGGTTCACCCTTCCATGAAAAAGTTCATCTTGTCTTGTACTCAATTCAATGAAAGATCAAGTGAGACTCTTAATCCGCACACTCATTTTAAGATTCTTGAACTCAATCTCTCTTTTTTAGCTCCTTGACTCTAGTAGGTCTGAGCATGATTGGGCTAATTTCCACTAGATAAATATAGTTTCAACAATTACGAACATGGCATTAGTTACAAGAAAGCTAATGGAAAATTTATGTTGTAAAATTTGCCACCAAGGCCAGTGCAAATATCATACCGATTATGCATTCTGTGTTCATACTGAGGAATAGGCAAGGAGTAATGATTGATGATATCTAAAAGAACTTGCACTGGATTCAAGAAATTGTTGCGTTTTAACTGAATTCAAATGTACTAAACGATTTTTTAAACAACCAAATCAGGAAGGGGTTTATTTAATGATTTCATTGTAACTATTTATACTTATCATATAAGCACAATTCAGCAATGGCATTAGAATTTCAAGACAGGTGAAGAGAGTGGTCAGTTCAAGTCAAGAAAACCAACCTGAAGATAAACCTGGTAAACAAGTTCATCATAGGTCCCATTCATATTTCCATCCTTATCTTCAAAAAATTCATATTCATACGGAGCATAAGAGAGATTCTGCATTACAGCTTCAAATACATCTATGCAGTACCCCTTGGGAACTTGTTTTTTAGAATGGGGATCCACATCAACACGAATAAATTCAGGAAAACCTGGCTTCACAGGAACACCAATTGTGAGATTCTTCCCTGCTGTAGGCCACTCCCATCCTTTCGGCACCCGCTCTGGTTCACCAGGCCAAATGACAGCATCAAGCTTATCTTTGGAATTTTTCCAGCCTGAGATATTATGAGGAGCCCAAAACCCAACTCTCACCATACCATTCTTCACCACATTAACTATCTCAAAAAGCTGCGACTCCAACTGGCCATCAATTAAATGAAACTTCCCCGCCATACCGTCGAATTCAGTACTTTGTATGGACTGAAGAAGCTTTGGTCCAACTGATGATGAACCTATGCTTGCTATATCATTTGAACTCTTGGAAATATCTGCCACTTGGAATGTCAAATTATTCATCCCAACCTTCTCTGCTGCCAGAGCTAATGACCATACAGTGTCATATGCCCACAAGCCAAAAACTATGGGTTCAGTAATTATGGCATGAGGATTTTCTTGATGGAATATCTTCCTCCATCTCTTATTAAAATCGCGAAGCTTACTGGTCATATTAACAAATGGCCTCACACCCAAAACTCCTTGCATGGCATTAGCTGCAGGTGAACCCATCAGATTCACTATATCAGTCAAACCATATGTTGTAATCCACACATATCCTTCTTTCAACATTCCCTCCTCCTTGGCGATTGTAAAAAGTTTCAAGCCAAGATCACATGTCATGTGCACAACAAATACCCTTGTTTGCATTTCCTTGAGCCTACTAAGCTCTTTCAGAATTTGACTCTTAGTGGCTGATGGAGGAATACTGCTTCTGTATGGGACTCTCACATCAATAAGTTGAAATTCATTTATTAGGAAAGGCATAATTCCATTGCCATACTCATCATCGACGTACACTGGAACCACTTCCCTCCAATTAAATTCTTGAATAATAGAAGCTATAACCTTTGCTTGAGTGGAGTCATTATAGGCAGTTCTCATGAAGTAGGGGCTTTGTGTAGATGAAAGGGAAGGGCTTTTTGCTGAAAATGAAATTATAGGAACATGTGCCCTGTCCCCAAGCTCCATTACAAAACTTGCTTGTGATGATTTTTGTGGACCGAGTATAGCCTTCACTTGAACATTGTTCAATAGATCGATCGCTGCAATGCATGGAGATTGCATTATGTTCACATAAAAAAGCTGATCAAAAAGACAAAATGAAGGCTAAAATCCAATAGTTCGAAAGGGAATTATCTGGTGATGTAAATAAACTCAGTTGAGTTGAGCACTACTTTATCCAGTCTAGTTCTTCTTTTTTTTTATGTATCGAGCTAGAACAAGATCTGAATTTCAAAATCTTACTCAAGTTTTTTATTAATTTTCTTATTGACTGTAAGCTATAATCGATCAATAATCAAACCTAACTAACTACATGAAAGATGTTAATAATTAAATAAATAGCCAAAAATAATAATTTAAATAAAAAGCCATATTACTAATAATAAATATATTCATTAATATAGACAAATAATTCTCAATAGTATTCTAATGCTTTATAAAAATAAAATTAGATTTTTAATCTATCTAACTACAAGGTCAGAAGGTTCTCCTTGGTTGATTTGGAGAGATTGGTAAGTTTTAATGGTCCCCTAAATCCTTAAGAACTTCTATAAGTTATCTTGGGTGCATCACAACTTATATTACACCCTCAATTGTTATGTAAGATTTTGTAAGCTCTAATAAGCAGCACTAGTATAAGTTATATCTTACGATATTCAGCAGCTACTATCTTTGCTTTAGAGGCACTTTCTCTGTTGTACTTGTTGGCTCAAGAAAAATGCCGCGAAGGCATGAATCCCGTTGCCAAGTTACTTACAATTAGAATTCTTCTTACAATGGCAGTTACTTTTCAGTGGAAAATATTGCAATTAGCTGTGTCTAATGCTTTCCTACATGGCTCCTTTCATGGCATGGTTTGCATGGCTCAAACACCCAGCTTCCAAGATCCTCAACATTTAGATTATGCTTGTCTTTTGAAGAAATCAATTTATGGATTAAAACAATCTCTAAGGCATTGGTTTGCCACTTTTTCACTCATTTGCTCAAGTTTGGGTCTCAATCCAGCACTGTTGACCCCTGCATGTTATTTTATCACCAAGGTAGCACTTCTCTTGATATTTTAATATATGTTTGTTGCAGGCTAGAATATTCGCGGCGGTAGAGTGAGTGAAGTTTTCGTCTTAGCGATGCACAGATATACAACACACAAACAAAGAGAGAGATAAAATACACGATCTTTTTACGTGTAAAGCCCAAAGAGGGAAAAACCACGGGGACTCACCCAGGTGAAAAGATTCCACTAAATTTGAGTGAATTACAAAGGTTGACCCGTCCCTTGACTTATAGGTGATCAAATTGCAGTAGTTTGGAGAGTAAGGCAAATGTCTAACAACGGTCAAACGAAAGTTCGACGACGTCCGTGCAGAAGTTCAGCTGGCCAGGAATGATCCGACAAAGGTCGGGCAGAAGTATGGCGACACTTGGCGGCCATGTGGAAGTCCGGAGGCGGTCAACAGTGATCAGATGAAGGTTGGGCTGAAGTTCGGAGGCGGTCAACGGCTGGGTGGAAGTTCGACGGCGGCCGACGGTGGGGCGATGATCCGACGAAGGTCAGGCTAAAGTCGACGGCAGCAGTCTGTAGCAAGGCGGCGGTTCGACGATGGTCGGGCTGAAGTCCGATGGCGGTCAGCAGTCGGCGGTCGGCGATCGGGCAGTGGTCCAACGATGATCAGGCTGAAGTCCGGCTGCGGTCGACCGCCGGGTGGAAGTCCAGCGGTGGTCGGCGACCACGCGGTGGTCCGAAGAAGGTCAAGTTAAAGTTTGGTGGCAGTTGGCAATCGGGTGGAAGTCAAGCGGCGGTCGGCGGCCGGGTGGAAGTTCGGCGGTAGTTGGCAGCCGGGCAATGGTCCAATGACGATCGGGCTGAAGTTCGGAGACGATTAGCGAACAGGTGGAAATCCAGTGGCGGTCAACAGCCAGGGGCTGAAGTCCAGCAACGGTCGTTGGCCGGGTAGAATTCTGGCGGCAGTCAGTGGCAGGGAGGTGGTCCAACGACAGTCGGGCTGAAGTCCGACGACGGTCGGCGGTCGGGTGGAAGTCCGGCGGCAATCGGCGTCCGGGCGGTGGTGTTAGAGCTCTTGAGGTTTCAAAGCTCTCTCCAATCTCTCGCCAAAGGTCCCCCTTATATATAGAGTGTGGGTCTATTTATAGATTTTCATGATTGGCTCACCCCGTAAATATAGGAAGATTCGGGGCAAGTTCGGAGTGCTCCATCGAATGACTCGTATTAATTCCCCTGATTATAGAGAGTTTTTTAATTGTTTAGGTGCCTTGATGATGTAGAAATCCAGCGATCTTGGGCTCGTTGGATTCATCTCGTCGAGCCACTCGATTTGACTATAAACATGTAATATTTTGATATCATTTTGTTATCCATTTAATACTTTGAATCTTCCAAATAAGCTTTGAGTCTTCGATTTGGAGCCCTTTGGTTAAGTTTACTGAAATCGGAGTTCATATGATCACGAATTTGATTTTAAAAGTTTCCAACTTAAATATGCCTCGAGATTTGTGCATGATCAAGACCATTTTTACGAAATCGCTATCAATCAAGTGGTTTCATGAGCTAGAGAAGACCCTCAACTTGAGGAGGGATGACAAGCAACACTAATATGAATTATATCTTATCAGCAGCCACTATCTTTAGTTTATAGGCACTTTCTCTACCGTACTCACAACTCCTTTCTGCCGAATTGCATCATTGCCATTGATGTATAATGGACTACATCTAACAGTTTATTAGTTTGATATATACATACATACATACATAGTCATTGTAACTGCATTGACGAGTGATTTGGAAAAATAATGTAACTCTCAGTTACAACAAACAGCTATTGCAATATGTTTCTATTCCTTGCATTTAATTGTTTTTAAGTGTTATGCAGATTGCAGCTTTTTCAGTTCAACAAGCTAAAAGTCTAACAAATATGATTTAAAATTTTGGGTGGTCTTATAAAAGTAAAGAGAAAAACTTTAGTGTTAGACATGCAAGTCCCTCAGCTGATTAAATCCCAAAACCCCTCAACTACTTAAATGCTAAAAATTTATATACTTGCAGTTGCAGATGCAACGCAATAAAACTACCAAACTGTTGGAAATTTAATAAAAGCAAAACACATATTGGCTAAGATCTTATAATGATTGATATTTTGAGTAAAAATCTAGAATTTTATTAATTTTGTAAATAATCAAACTTTATAGAGGTGTTTACGAAATTGTTTCAGTTTTTTTTTTTTTTTTAGTGGAATTTTTACTCAGTCAAGAATGGGGCTTCGGCGTCGGTTTCCTTAAAACTGAAAACAAGAATAAAAAATGGAAAGGAACGAAACCTCGTATTATAAAATTTACCTGCGGAGGCGGCGCCGAAAGCATCGCCGCCGGAATCTCGGATGTGAAGAGAGATTCTGGTGGAGTAACCGGAGTTCACCGCATAGAAATCGTCGACCGCCATTCTCATACAGCTCAAGCTTATGTTTCCTATCCATGAACCTAAATCTAAAATCACTCCCGCATCAAATTGTATTCTTCCATTAGCCCCTCCTCCGCCCCCTCCCTGAGTTCTTGCACTCGAGACGAACGAAAAGAAGAAAACAAAGTAAAAGAGATTGAGCTGGGGATTTCTCCCTCTCCTTTTCATCTTAAAAAGAGGGGAGATTGAGACGATGAGAGATATAGTACAGTAAAAGTCTTTTTCACGAGAATCAAGGATTTGCACTTCGAACTTTATGAAGAAAGATGTGATCTGCGCTGTGTAACATTAATGGCTGCTGAGGTTTGAATCTCAATAGGTCCAAGACTCCAAGTACACGCTTTGCGCTGTCTGTAAATTCAAAGAAAAGAAAAATAGAAGCAATCGAATCGGTCAACAACTTCTGCGAGGAGTTGAACCGGATGCGATCTTCAGTCCCGCACCTCACATACAGTTATCAAATATCTGGTTAAAAACAATTTTGAAGTGTTTGGATCTTAAAAACTATTTGACATGATAAACACTAAGTTTTATTAACTTCATAGACTTTTCTATATGAATTTGTATGATTTAGCTTCATTTGAGATAGCTTTTTTTTTTTTTAAATCGTAATTATAATTTTTATTTTATCACTATTTTTTATTACGTTTTAAAAAAATGTGTATTAAAAAATTGTTTTCTACAGCAGATTTAAAAAATTATTTTTTCCATAAGAGATTTAAAGACGTGTAAGAAAATCTTTCCAAATGAAACCTTAATATTTAAATGCAGAAAGCATAATGAGTAGTGTTTATGTGTTCCAAATTTTTATTTGGCATTTTAGCTTAGGTATTGGCTAAAACTTTCAACCAAATGGTACTCGAAAAAAATAAGTTGGAATTATTCCAAAAATTGACTTAAGCCATTAGTTATCCAAGTGATTTAGGCCTAAATTAAATCTCTATTTTTGTAAGATATTATTTTGTCTTGTATTATAAAAGATGGATTTCTTTTTAACTTTACTTGTTTTAATTTAGTAGATGATATATATTGTATCTCAATACATTATAGAACTCATACAACTTAAGTGATGTCTTGATAGACTTATATTCAAATAACTTAATTGACCACTTTTGATATGCTTAAGAAATAGATAGTCATATAATCTATAAAAGTTAATGGGTATGCCCACCGAAGAAATTTTCCAACACTCTTCTAACTAGGCCACATATTTTTAACAACATAGCAAGTAAAAATTTATTGGTTTTATGTAACAACGTGTTGCCTATTTGACAATTTAGTTGATTGAATTTTAAAATGTTATTTAATCATACCCACCACCTTCTTTAAAGTAGATGATCCACTCCTCCCCCAGTTGACTATAAATATGTTAGACGACCAATGCATACTGCCATCAAGATAAAAGTCAAACATTTCTCTTCCAATAGAATAAGAAGATGAGCTCTCACAAAGAAGACATCGTCAACGCCTCTCTTATATGGATAGGAAGTTATGTGACTCAAAGCTAGTTGTTTTGTATTTTTAGTGGGTTATTTATGGCTACTTTGTTAACTTGTTGTGCTACATACTCGTCATCTTTACCACCCACATACAAGCTATAATCTACCAATTCACATACATGATGGTCTAGAATATATAGGTAAGTCGTCCACCATATATGATTGCAGGTAGTGGCGGGTCGACATAATGCCTTAATTTGATGTCCACCTACTGATAATAAGTCCACCTTCTAACAACATCTTCTCTTAGTGTTGAGATGAAAAAAGCTTAATGTGGCCACCTTTCTAGCTACTCCCTATATTACAAGTCAATATATGAGTAAGGTAAGTTAAGACATGTCAGAATTCCATAGAGCATCACCAAGTGTGACTAACTTGATGAGGCTGTCTAAACATTATTATCATGCTTATGTCATCTCAATATTTAGGTTAAACCCCCCTTGGTCTAAAAATTCCATTAACATGAGTTGTTAATGTCAACTATATGGGAATATTAGGAAAGTTATATCAACTTCCACATGTCATTAGTTATCAATGCAACTCATAATCCTTCTAATACTTATGTTGACATACAATATAAATAGTGTTATTGTAACACCTTTAGATTCAGTATTCAGTTCAACATGTTCTGACCCAATTTAAAAAAGGTAAATTATTAATTTTTGCATTTGAACCCTTATGTGTGTGTCTTAGAATATTTTATGTGCATTTTAAGAGTCTGCATGTGTTCTGAAGTAGGTCTCGGGGGTCTATTTATATCACACTCCATGATCTATATTGGAAGAATTATATATATCTTTCATTTTAACCATTTAACTTGAGCTTACAAATAAATAGTGACAAAAAATATGATTGCATGTTTGTACTGTCTAGAGCCTCATATCATAAGATCATTATCAATCCTGAAAATATATAAAACCACGTAATGAGTATATAGCCCAGCAAGTAATTAAAATCTTACAATTGAAATCAATGTAAAATAAAAGAGAATAATATGTTATATCAACATATATAATTATTATCAGTATCAATTTATCTTTTTATAGTTTATCATATCTTAATCTATTACATCATTAGTCACAATATCAGTAACAATCAATAGTACTAATGTCAATAACAATATTAGTATCATGATCAATAATGTTAAATAGTGTTAATGTCAATAAATAGTATTAGTGTCAGTCACAATATCAGTACAGTATTTGTAGTAGTGTCGGTATTAGCATTCAGATATTCAATGAGTGTATCTCAATGTATCTTGCTCATGCACTTATGACTCTCAATCAATCATCCCTTATAACTCTTAATTAATGTACTCCTTATAACTCCCCTTGAATCACGTGAATAAGTCGCCCCGACTCCTTATAACTCTCAACCAAAGCTCCTTACGACTCCTAATCAATGAATCTGTTGGCTTAGCATTACAACGCTTAAAATTAGAGCCAAAGCGCTTTAGTTTAGAAATTTTCATGTTTTTCAAATAAATTTTCACATATTTGAGTTATTATAGTTTGCGTGTTTGGAAAATATCTAAAAGTTTCCTCTAGGTGTCGCGACACTAATGCTCTAGGGTTTTTCTACGCCGCGTGGCGGTGCTATTGCTAGCACCATGGAGCGTCGCAGTGCTGGAGCAAATTTTATTATTTAAAATATCTGAATCCACTATGTCATTTATTCAATTTTCTTTAGGTTGCTCACTCTCGTGAGATAAAGAAAGGGAATTTAGAGAGAAAATTGAGGGAATTTAGCAACTTCGAATCATTTTTAAATGTCAATCCAATTTTGAAAGTTATTTTGATTGAGGTTGAAAAATATCTTAAATTTATATTTCTGTAATAAAAAATGAAAATAACTTTTTATCCGTAAAAAAAATTATCGCGTAACTTTCTGTATGTTATAGGGACAATTATTTTTGGACATTTAGATATTTTTTCTAGAAATTTTACCCATGGAGTTTTGGAAATTATGCTATTTTAATTTATTAAAAAATAATCTTGACTCTGAAAAATAATAATATTATAGTACAATTCAAGTCTCAAAAAATTATTTTATACCATCTCTGATAATTTGGCTATATTATGAAATAATGATTTTTTTATAGTAGTGTATTCCACTGCATACTATCATAATATTTTATAAAATTCTGAAATGAGTTTATTTAATGTGTTATTACTGCAATGCAATAACTTATGTGTTTATTTGATTGATATGTATGATTTCGAGGAGGTTCTGATGTGTGGTGAAGATTATGATGCTAAATGAATAGGAAACCATAAGAGTCTAAAATCTAATATATTTCTAATGGAATCCATAAGGGCTTGAGGGAATCTATTACTTTTAGCTTTGACATATAAAGTACTTATTTATTTACTTTTTAGTACTATTATTTTAAATTTTGATAATTATAATTATTATTATGCTCAACACAGTGATATATTATATTATTTTTTATATTCAATTAAATGCTTGATAAGTGAGATTATTGGAAACTTAAATTGATACATGTGTGGCCTACTGAGATGTGTTAGGTCACACATATTTTCCTTTTATTTTTAGGATATGGAAAATGAAATGAGCCAGTTAAGTAGCAATTTAGGATATGATCTAAGTCTATACATGTATTTCTTTCTTTTAACTTTTATACAATCATGATTAATTATTATTCTATTTTATATTCTTGTTCGTAATTATATATTGTTGTGTCAATATTGTGGATAAATTTTCATAAAAAAATGAAAAGAGAATTTTATGAATGAGTTTATTTTCAGTATACTACATATTAGTAGTAGCTTTGTGGTTTGTTATTATTTTTTAAGCTCATAGTGGAAGAAAATCTGAATACTTTTTAAAACTTAGATATTGGGGTTACCTATCTCAAGCCAACAAGAAAGGACATGTCAAATTTATGAGTTTATCGGGTTGGGTTGTGATAATTATGGACCTATTGGCTAAGTTAGTATGAGGTGTACTTCTTAAATCTTAATAAAATGCTTAATACTATATTAGAATTGAACTAATTGGTTATATAACATCAAGTCAATTGCCCAAAAACTAAAGAGTTCTATACTTACAAATAGATCCCCTTGATATACTTATTATGAGAAAAAAAGATGATGACATGAGAGAATTTTTCTTGTACATGACATTTTATAAGAAGATATCAAATAGGTCTAGTGAGGTAAGACCAATAAATCTAATCTTAACCCATACTAAATACTCACGAAAAGTTATATATCATCAAAATTCATCGAGTCAAGAAGAGAATTTGGTTTAATCAATCTCCTAAAGGGACTAGGCTCCCTAATATTAATTATACTTTAGAACATCACAAAGAGATAGTCTTGATAAATGTAATATGTTAGTATCTTAACTTGCCCATTCAACTTTAAATATTGACTATAATTCAAAGGCTATTATCCAAATAGGATAGTCTATATTTTGAAATAGATTAGTCCATAAGAAAGAGGGTGAATCACCATATATTACTACTCTCCAAATAAGAAATCCACGTAGTATCGATATTTGAATAACTGAAGAGTAAAAAAGAAGCATGAAAGTGCTCAAAATATGATAGGTAAAAGATGAGGAGTCTAGGAAAAGATAAAAATAACCTAGTAAAGAGTTCATAAGTCAATTATCCCAAACTATAAAGCTTGGGATCAATTAGCTGCGAGATAACCTACCTAACCTATCATGAGATGCTTTATTAGTAATAATGAATTATATCTTTTAAAGTTTGCCTTGTGATCTTAAATCAGGAAAAAAAATAGAATTATTATGTAGATGAATTAAGTAGTTCACTGAAAAGATGCAAAACTTATAATTCTTAGTAGTATAATGAATACTTGTAAAAAAAATGGAAATAAGATTGTACTGGACTTCCTAAACTTACGATTGATTATTCTCATCCATTATGAATAACTACGAGAGTCACTAACATTTCATTCATCACATTAATATCAACAATTTTCATTTTCTCAAAACATATATTCATAATAATCTAGATCACTAAAATATGTTAGCCAAATAAGTAAACACTATATTACAAAAAATTATAGTACTTGATAATTTAAGCTCCAAGAGTCCTCTATATTAGATCTACTCTACTGGATCCTTTCCTTTACCTATAACATTTGAAAATAATAGAGTGAGCTCAATCAAATCCGTAAAGTCCCTCCTACCTCTTCACAAATATTAATATTCAAAATTAAGAATTAAAAGCAATTTATTCAAAATAGTTAACTAAAAGAAAATACAAAGACTTCCAATATTTGTAGAATATACGTAGAACAAGAATATACAAGAGTTTAATATGTATACCAGATTCAAGGCTATCACATATACTTTCTTAACCACATAACCATATTTCACATAAGTGTTTTTATGTCATACATAATGCTTAATTCCAGAGATTCACTTTCACTAATATATATCATATCATAACCCAACCCAATAAGGAAGATCCTATTATTGTATTGAACTATTTCAGACAAATTCTAATATCTAATTTTAAAAATATTTTAGATTATCTTCCAATATATATTTTAAACAAACAACATACTATAGATTTACTAAAATATCTAGAGTATAAAAATAAACTCATCCACAATTCATCAAAATGAATATATATGATCTACACTGTAGTACATAGCAACATAACAAATTAAGATCATAGTAAAATATAACCAAAACTAGTAATAAATGTACAAAAATTAAAAATAGGGAAATATCTATATAGAATTAGATCAGATCCTGAACTGCTAATCAACAAGCTTCTTATGTTTCTCAGATTCTTAAATCAGAATGTAAAATCATATTGAGCTACAACAGCTTAACATGACGCAAACACTGATATAAATTTTTAAATATTTTATAAAATAATTTTAGAATATTTAAATATAATTAAATGCATTATAATAAATAATTGTACTAAGCAAAGTAATAAGAGCATAACAGTTATTCAAAGATACAAATAATAATACTGACCAATTAATTTAACTGAATTTATTATATAATAGTTCATATCGTAGATTTTTCGCATCTTTAATATAATCTCATAGGATTCTAGACTCTAATGACTCCCAATAGAATTTTTCCCACTTTCAAATAAAATCTAAAAGGATTCTAGCCCCTTACGACTCCCAATAAACATATTTTTCAGATTCATATTCACAGACATAATCTCAAAGGATTCTAGCCCTTTATATCTTCCAACAAATTTTTTTTCATATCAAAACTATTAAATGACATATAATTCAATCACATAAACACATATATTATTATATTGTAGTAATATAAGCATAATTAGACACATTTCATAATTACATAATTTTCTATAATGGCAGACAACACAAAATCCTACTGAAAAAAATGCACAGTTTCAAAACATAACTAAATTACTATAAATTATGTAAAATATCATTTTGAGACTCTAATCGTAGTACAACACTATTTTTCAAAGTTCAGATTATTTTTTATTCAATAAAAATAGTATAAATTTCAAAGCCCAGGTATAAAATTTTGAGAAAATATTTAAAATGTTCAAAATCTCAATCTTTATAATACATAAAAAGTTAAATAGTGAAAGTTTTTCTAGTGCAAAGTTATCATCCTTATTTTTTTTTTGTAATAGAAATACAAATTTAATTAGAAAAAAAATTATATTTTTGAAAACTAAGATAAGCATAATGTGACCTACCTTAATTATGACAACTTTTACAATTGGACTACCATACAAAAATGACCCGAAGTGGCCCAAAAATTATTCTTTTCCTTCCAAATCCCTCTCTATCCAATGTCGGATGCCTCTGAGTTCGACTAAATGAAATAGTAAGATTTAATATTTATTTAAGTGTAGATAATAGCTTAGTGCTGCGATGCAACTATCCAGCATTACAGTGTTAGTTTAAAATCCAAAAAAACTTGAGACTACAACGCTGTAATGTCAGTATTTAGCACCCAAGCACTGCTGCAGTGCCGCAGGACTCAAACACCCAACATTAAGGCACTTCACGGGGAAATTTTTAAAAATCTCCAATATAAATTCCTAAACCCTATGACTCACTCCAAATCACATACATACCATTTTCATACACCAAAACACTTCCAAGCACGTGAAAATATGTTCAAAATATAAAATTTCAAATATTTATCTTTTTTTTTTCAATTCGGATAAAAACAAGTAGAACTGAACACAAAATTTGGTGCTGTCACATATCATATGTGAATTTTAGAGTTTTCTAAAATTTAATGTAGTATAAGAATATTAACATATAAAATATAATGCTTAATATGCAAATGTTCTGATGCCTACTTATACCTCCATTTCCACTTATGTTTTCCTTACCTCCCACACTTGCATGTAGTAAGTGGGGCTAGAATTCCTCACACATCTGCTTCTGTTAGATGGTGTAAAAAACTACTTATAGTATTGTTTAACCTCTCACATCTGCTTTCAATAAATGGGGCTAGAATTCGTCCCACGATTGCCATACCTTGCAACACTTATAGAGAAACTTCCATATTCTCATAGAATATGCTCACCTAAAATCCAGTGTCATGACACACGCTCAAATTCTCCAAAAACTAGTGAGCTCAATGCCAAGGGGGCCGCCAACGTCGGTGCCGGACGCTCACAAAGAAATTCTTAAACTTGGATTTTCAACTTTGCAACTCCAAATATCAATTATTTTCTATTCCATTCAACATTCCAAAACTCATAATTACTAACTAATTTCAAATTTCAAATTGAAGATTAGTCACATAAAGTTATTTGGATTTGATAAGAGATATTACAAATATAACCCAATTATATGTAACTAATGCAATTCAATTGGATTTGGAATCATGTTTGGAACATGACAATCACTGCATAATGTGACAAGATAACCTTCTACATGTATCAATTAAAACCAGTCTAACAAGGAGAGCTCTATCTTAAGAAATATAATATACATGCAAATTAGATATTTTTAAATTAAAGACTTTTATATACTTTTGACCTACTATAACATGAATGTGAACCAAGGCTTTAGGGCTTTGATCATTAGCAAGCTCTATTATGTATCTCATCTAATAGCTATAAAAAGAATATTTTTAATTAAAAAGTGGCTTAAAGTTATATTGTAACATATAATGTTTATTAACAAAGTCATGCATTGGGTACCCATACCCACATACCCACCCTTATCCAATGGGTATGTGTACGCCCATGACCTCGTAGGTGGGTACTCAACATCGAGGGATAAATTGATTTACATTGTCAACCACCGTATGCTGAATATTATCACAATCCTCACTATGTAGTGCGCATCACTGAATTGCTCTGTGATCACGATAAATTCTGATATGCAACTTGAAATTTTGCAGTTAAAGTAAAGGGCAAGAAGCCTCAAGGCCATCAGTTTGTGGGAGATTGAATTCAAAAAATGTGGGAAGTGGGTGGGTATGGGTGGATACGACATCCCGAAAGTCACAGTGGGAGGGCGAAGCCCGCCCATACTCTTGCCCGTCGAGTGTGGGTTCCCAACCAATACCTTATGTAGAGCTTTGTTTGTTAAGCTCGCAAAGAGTTATGGTAGATTATCCTAAAATATAGTGTAGGCTATCTTGAGATGCATGACATTGTATTAGCTAACCTACAAATAGAGGCAATATAATTAGCATATCTGGAAATAAAAGTATAAAGATTGAATTGTATCAATTTAGCTTGACTACAAATCATAAAATTGAAATTAAGTTAATTAGGCTAAGAGGTTATGATGCCTTGCAAAGATTATATGAGTCTAGACTAATATCTACTTGTAAGTGCAAGGTGCTAAATACATGTGACCAATAAACACTATATGCTAAATGACTAGTCAACCTAGGTTAACCTATTTTGACTAGGAGATCACATATATGCTTGCATACTGTTCTTTCCTAAATCTTTTGTGAGCAAATTGAACCAAATCAAATAAAATTTGATTTTCAATATTTTGAATTTTCACCAAATAGCATTTGGAAACATGAAACCCCTTCACTCATAAAAATGAGTTAGTACAAGCAAAAACTTTGAAAGAAAATGAAAAAGCCACAAGAGTTATACAATCGGCCAACTCGATCAAGTATAATCTATTTTGATTCTGCATTAGGTTTGTCTCTTTTAAGGCCCTTGTAAAATTACACCAAACTCTAGATCATAGCTACGAACATCCCTAGACCTTAAATCGTCGCTAAGTGGTTTCAAGTCTACATTACCTTTCATTTGTAAACCCTAATTTTACAAAGTGTTCCTTCATGCTATTGAGCAAGGTAGGGCTTATATATGAACTCCCAATTAAAAAAATAAATTATATATATTAAAATGATCTTCTTATTTTTAATTTCATCCTTCTAATCAAATATAAGCCAGCTAAAATCAAATAAATTCGGGCTAGAGAAGACGAATTCAAGTTAGGCTACGCATAATTCAAGTTAGGCTACATATACATTTAGGTTTTGTTTGTTTGAGTGTTTTTTTGTCTTTTTCGTTTTTAGAAACGGAGGAATTTTTTTTGTGTTGTTTGATTTGTCAAATCACGTTCCCAATAACTTCTTTTTTTCATTTTTTCTGTAATTTTGAGAAAGTTTTTTATATATACTTCTCCTTTACAAAATTTTATTTTCTGAACTAATCTTAAACTGTGGCAAAAAAAAATCAAACAAAGCCTTAGTCGCGTGATTAGGGTTTGTATCATCAACGTGCTGTCGTTATTACGCTTTCTGCTCTATAGAGGCTCAGTGGGATAGCTCGCAGCGGCGAATCAGAGACGGGAGCAGCCATGGCGACCACCAAAGTCCAGAGGATTATGACCCAGCCCATCGTTTGTTTACCGCCTTATATTCTGTTTTCTGTTTGGTCTTCCATTCGTCTAATCAATGATCTCAATTACTATTCTAATTTTTTTTTTACTTCTGTTGTATCGATTTATTTCCGGGCGGCTGGTGTCAGAATCTGATCTTTAGGTTCCTCCAGAGCGTAAGTGTTATTTGATTATTTCGATATTGTAGGGATATTTGTTATTACTAGTTTCTGAACCTTTGTTGCTATACTGCTCCAGAAAGCGCGGATTCAGATCTGGCTTTTCGAGCAGAAGGATCTCAGAATCGAGGGGCGCATTATTGTAAGTCACGAAGTCTCCCAATTTAAAATTTGTAAATGTGATTTCTTCTCTTTTGTATATATAAAAAAGAAACTCCATGAGGTTTGTGTCTTGTTCTAAAATGCAGTTTTTCTAAAATTTGTAAATTGTGATATATTCTCTTTTGTAAATAAGAACAACTGTTTGCCCAATTTGATGATGTAATTGACGAAAAATGTGATTTTTGGGTATTGTCAAAACACATGCCAGAACACGTGGTTGCCTACTGCCCAGATTTTTGGCAGCATAAAATCCAAGTTTTTGGCAATCTTGGCATTGTTAATCATGTTTCAAGAGTCCAAGTCATTATTACTCGGATTGTTTGTCTCGGTTTTAGGGAACGCTGGCCTTGATGTTGGGTTTCTAGAAATTCAAGCAAATTGACGGGAGAATTGCTAGCAACTTTGACAACAATCTCCCAATTGCACTCCATCCTCTCCTAACTTATTGTTGTTGTCTTTGTTCATTACTTTGAAGTCAAGATTGAAGCAGTCATATTGCACTTTTATAGCATGCAAGCTCATATATGGCAGTGACACATCTAACTATCATTGCCTGCAAGTTCATGTGGCAGTGGCTAAACAAAAGATAAAGATAAAAAAGGCAGATCATTATCTGATTAGTGATTACCAACAAAAGGTTGCTGCCTTAGGATGCACCTCTACCTTGAGATCTGTTCACGCCCTGTCGATGTGCTTGTATAGCCCATATGAGACATGAGTTTGTCACCAACTGTTCATGTAGTGAGCTTGAATAGATATCCTAATAGCTTGTTTGTGTGATTTTTTTATGCTTTTTTCTATTTCATGTTGATTTGAGATCACACCAATGAGCTCGTTAATTGTTTGGCCATGGTGCTAGGTCCAATTGTCCAACATGTGAGTTTGAGCAAAACTTGCAAGCTTGATTATTACTTAGTTGTGGTGTGAACTCATGTTGGCAAGCTACTTAGCCTTTTGGGTTATGCCTTAAGCTCATTGTCCATCTAGCCATTTACGAGCTCATGTTGGTAAGTACATAAAGATCTCACTTTTTTTTGCCAACTTCCACACTAGGGTTATTATTTATTTTGATAATGTTGTCAGCTATATTAATTGGCAATGGAGCTGATAACAATGTTGATAAGTGATAGAGTAACCAGTGACATGGGTTTGCAACGGACAAGGTGAAAGATGGAGTAAAGCTTGATTTATGCTTGAAGTAATATTTTATGATCTTAAGATGCCCTTATTGTTTGAGTGTGGGGAGTTTTGAGGTACAACTTGAACTAAATTTTCAGAATTCATTGTTAATTTTAAAGAGGTTATCTTTTTATCAAAGGGACTTATTTTAGGGACCCTATTTATTTCATATTTATCTTGCATTTTAATGCGGGATTTGTAAATATCATTTATGTTATGAGAAGGAGAGCTTGATAAATTAGATACCTTGCAGATGCTCTCATTTTGAGAGCAAAGGATTATTCTTCTTTCCTCCTTTTGAGTTGCTTAATCAATATGTTGCATACATACCCAAATAGGGATCAAACTCTATAGAATTAGAATGATGGGTTATTTCCCAAAATAATTTCTCCCTTGTTAAAGCTAAGGGTTGTTTATAGCATGCTCATTCGGATGAATTCTCAAGGGTTAACTTCTGTTTTGTTAGACCTTGGCCATTTGTATTCTCAACATTTGTTATCATTAATGATTAAGAATCATTTATAATCTCTAGTTGTTGGGTTATGTAGATTCTTATTATTATTTCAAAAATATCAGAAGTATTTGGTAGCCATCCATCAACATGTGCTGTTTTGATGGATGGTTGTAATGATTCTGGTGAGTCAAAGCATGGTTGGATCCGAGTCATGAGATAGTCTTGAGCCACAAGTACCTTTGTGTGGTTTAAAGCCCTCTTTGCTGATCATGTATTCGGAAACTAGGAGGCATTTGTGGCCTACCATTAACCCAAAGTAATGATTAAAGTTTTAGGTTTACACGATTCCTCTTCTTCTGAAGGTTTATTTTAGTTTTGAAAATAAAGAAGATTGAGCAACTCTAAAAAAGTAATTTATTTGCCATTCACATTGTTATATCCCTTGTTGTGCTTATGATGCTTGGGAATAGTTTCATTGTTGAAGAATTGATTCGTAATACGAGTTGTAAATTACTAAATTATAAGTTACATCTATTATAATAACCTTAGTTGTGTAGATAGTTCCTGACATACTATTGGATCCTATTGATCTTTTGGATGTTGTTAGATTATTGACACTTGTTGAGCTATCAGATCTTATTTAGATGTTCACTGCTATAGTTATGTTTTCTCATGCCAAGAACTCCTATCATTCTTGATGCAAAAGCTCCTATAAATGGGATTAAGTTGGAAGAAATTTGTGATGCATGCAATGTTGCATTTTAGCCTATTTTTGATTAAGTGGCTATATCAATTGATATTTAAGATGATCAAGAGTACACCACAATAATCCCCCTTCCACCACCTAACACAACAGTAAAGCACTTTCTTGTGGATATGATTGTCAAAATAACTTCCTAACATGACCCCATATTTTTACTTATTGTTGATATCATAACTTTTTATCATATTTTAAGATTGAAAGATGAGTTCATAAGACATTTTGATGGGGAATGGATAAACATTTGGGAATGTGTTGATTTTGGAGTGCATATGAGCCCCATGGTTCCCATGTTGCAATATGAAGATGTTTAAACCTTCACTTAAGAGTGTTGGATGTTTAAACCTTAACATAAGAGTGTTGATCTTGCTAATTAAGCGATAGAACTACAATTCATTCCCCTCCCTCCTGTGCACTCGCCTAAGATGGTTTATTATTTGTGTCTTCTAATCTAGTCTAAAAACTTAGTACTTAATTTAGCAATTTTCTTGCTCATCTTGCACAAGATGAACTAGCATGAGGCTGATAGTAGTTCCTCACTTTAAAAAATTATATTCTTGAAGAAGAGAATAAAGATGGTTGATGAATTCATATCTTTATTGAAATTGTTTGCATTCAAGCTCATTGTTTCAGGGTAATCAAACATTGTATTGGCTAACATTTATTGCCATCTAAATCTAAGTTATGTGCGATTCGAGTAAATTTTTTTTTCAAAATTTGCACAATTTTTTTATCTTCAAGCTAAATTCTTAGTCTTCTTCGAAATTTTTCAAAATAGTTTGTTTGAAGTTGTTATAAGAGGGAACAAAGTTCTTGTTTCAGGGATTAAACATACAATTCATTCCAAATGCTTAAAACTTCTTTCATAACAACTATATAATGTAAATAAAATATACAATAGTTATGCATTAAAAGCCTTTTAAATACACTAATGAATGGAAAAAGCCAAAGAATTCACTGCTATAGTTATGTTTTCTCATGCCACCATGTGAACCCCTATCATTCTTGATGCAAAAGCTCCTATAAATGGGATTATGTTGGAAGAAATTTGTGATGCATGCAATGTTGCATTTTAGCCTATTTTTGATTAAGTGGCTATATCAATTGATATTTAAGATGATCAAGAGTACATCACAATAATCCGCCTTCCCCCACCTAACACAATAGTAAAGCACTTTCTTGTGGATATGATTGTTAAAATAACTTCCTAACATGACCCCATATTCTTACTTATTGTTGATATCATAGCTTTTTATCATATTTTAAGATTGAAAGATGAGTTCATAAGACATTTTGATGGGGAATGGAAAAACATTTGGGAATGTGTTGATTTTGGAGTGCATGTGAGCCCCATGGTTCCCATGTTGCAATATGAAGGTGTTTAAACCTTCACTTAAGAGTGTTGGATGTTTAAACCTTAACATAAAAGTGTTGATCTTGCTAATTAAGGGATAGAACTACAATTCATTCCCCTCCCTCCATTGCACTCGCCTAAGATGGTTTATTATTTGTGTCTTCTACAGAGGGGTTCTATTCTAAAAACTTAGTACTTAATTTAGCAATTTTCTTTCTCATCTTGCACAAGATGAACTAGCATGAGGCTGATAGCAGTTCCTCACTTGAAAAAAATATATTCTTGAAGAAGAGAATAAGGATGGTTGATGAATTCATATCTTTATTGAAATTGTTTGTATTCAAGCTCATTGTTTGAGGGTAATCAAACATTATATTGGCCATTATTTATTGCCATATAAATTTTTTTTCAAAATTTGCACAATTTTTTATCTTCAAGCTAAATTCTTAATCTTCTTCGAAAATACTCAAAAAAGTTTGTTTGAAGTTGTTATAAGAGGGAACAAAGTTCTTGTTTCAGGGATTAAACATACAACTCATTCCAAACGCTTAAAACTTCTTTCATAACAACTATCTAATGTAAATAAAAGATACAATAATTATGCATTAAAAGCCTTTTAAATACTGTAAAACTCGAGAACGACGTTTGTAGGTCGTCGCCCGCTTTTCAATGCGTTGCGACAAGACTTAAGTGAAAATTTCAAAGTTAACGAAATTCGATGAAAATAATTTTATAAAATTGTACGCAAAATTTTGATCGTTTTGATGTATAGAACTTATAGTTAATTTGGAGTATTTTGAGAGATAAAATTTTTAGAAGTTTCATAGTATCGGTTTTACCCATATGCGAATAAAAAGACAAATCCACTTAAGTGAGGGCATAATGGTCTTTAGGAATTTACCCATCTTCTTATTACACTCACCGAACCCCTCCCCCTCTCATTCTTTCGCACGACACCCGAACCGAGCGGACAAAGGGGCGGACGGACAGCGGCTAGGGCTCGGCGACGGGCTCTTCGATGGCTTTATTCCGGCGAGAAAATTTGTCCAAATCGAAGTTGACGACGAAAGGAGTCTTAAGGTACAATTATTTTAAATCAAATCTTTCTAAATCTCAAGTTATTTGAGATTGAATTTTTAGGGTTTTTCTAGAAAATGTTTTTCTCCCAAAAATCTATTTTAGAAATCAATAAGAAATGATTAAGGGAGCATTCTAATGGTAAAAATGAAGACT